GAGATAGAGAGATAGAGAGATAGAGAGATAGATAGATAGAGAGATAGAGAGATAGAGAGATAGAGAGATAGAGAGATAGAGAGATAGAGAGATAGAGAGATAGAGAGATAGATAGATAGAGAGATAGAGAGATAGAGAGATAGAGAGATAGAGAGATAGAGAGATAGAGAGATAGAGAGATAGAGAGATAGAGAGATAGAGAGATAGAGAGATAGAGAGATAGAGAGATAGAGAGATAGAGAGATAGAGAGATAGAGAGATAGAGAGATAGAGAGATAGAGAGATAGAGAGATAGAGAGATAGAGAGATAGAGAGATAGAGAGATAGAGAGATAGAGAGATAGAGAGATAGAGAGATAGAGAGATAGAGAGATAGAGAGATAGAGAGATAGAGAGATAGAGAGATAGAGAGATAGAGAGATAGAGAGATAGAGAGATAGAGAGATAGAGAGATAGAGAGATAGAGAGATAGAGAGATAGAGAGATAGAGAGATAGAGAGATAGAGAGTAGAGAGATAGAGAGATAGAGAGATAGAGATAGAGAGATAGAGAGATAGAGATAGAGAGATAGAGAGATAGAGAGATAGAGAGATAGAGAGATAGAGAGATAGAGAGATAGAGAGATAGAGAGATAGAGAGATAGAGAGATAGAGAGATAGAGAGATAGAGAGATAGAGAGATAGAGAGATAGAGAGATAGAGAGATAGAGAGATAGAGAGATAGAGAGATAGAGAGATAGAGAGATAGAGAGATAGAGAGATAGAGAGATAGAGAGATAGAGAGATAGAGAGATAGAGAGATAGAGAGATAGAGAGATAGAGAGATAGAGAGATAGAGAGATAGAGAGATAGAGAGATAGAGAGATAGAGAGATAGAGAGATAGAGAGATAGAGAGATAGAGAGATAGAGAGATAGAGAGATAGAGAGATAGAGAGATAGAGAGATAGAGAGATAGAGAGATAGAGAGATAGAGAGATAGAGAGATAGAGAGATAGAGAGATAGAGAGATAGAGAGATAGAGAGATAGAGAGAGAGATAGAGAGATAGAGAGATAGAGAGATAGAGAGATAGAGAGATAGAGAGATAGAGAGATAGAGAGATAGAGAGAGAGAGGGGTATGCTTTATTGTCATTGAAAAATTACAAAATTTTAATAGACAAAGCGAAGTAAATTAAAAACTAAATATAATATAAAAAGATTAAAAAATATAAAAATTTAAAAATAACTAAACAAAACAAAATAAAAATATCAATTGCATTGGATATGCAATATCCGTCATTATGATTTTAATTTAAAATTTAAGTAATATTTCTGTATGTGTAACCCAAGAAGAAACTTAAGAGACAGTTCCTTACTGACTTCGGCCGCGACATAAGATATAAATATACGTTAATTTGTGAAATAAAGTTAAATTCATTATTAAAATAGTAAAATTGATAATATTGTTTCTGTCACCAAACCAACCCCTGATTAGGTATCTTTCTTATTTTTAATTTGAAATATATATATTGTGATTTTTATTAATATTCCTAATTTATTTGGTTCCTACTATAATTACCACAATTATTACTCCGTTTTCATAAAGCCCCACTAATGACTACAACGATTAGGTAAATTACGATATTGCAAAGTTTTTATGAAATAAATAAAAGAAATTGTATGAATATTTTAAATAATTGTACCCTCTCAAAAATAATAAGCACGCCTCCGATTTGGTCGTATTTCTACCTGCTTTCACTCTCAATCATTATTTGTTTGAGTATAGTTTGTCTAATAAAATATGATTCTAATGGATTTTTATGTTCTAAAGTAACATTATTTTCGGACTTATCTTTTTTCTCCATGTCTTGATTTAACCAATTGACCACTTTGCTTCTTCCATCGATTTCCTCAACTGGCAAAAAATCCCGATCATTAAGTTCACTTCCGAGTTGACTATCAATTTGACTCATTTTCACTTATGATGCTCACTGTATATACTTTTTAAATACGAATTATATGGAAAATTGTAATGTCAATAAATGCAGAAATAGTTAATAGTCAATTCACTAACAATTCAGCTTGTGACACTTAGTCCCCTACGAAATTCATTTTTAGAGCAGTTTTGTTACAAATAGCACCATACTATTTTGATATATCCTTTATTGTATACATTTTTCTAATTTTTTTTTAACATTTTCACGATGCTGTTTTTCTTTTCTGCAAGCATTTGTGGCATTTTAGTTATTGGTGCATTTTTATCAGTTGAACTATTCTTTCTTATATGTACCTTAATTTTTGTTAAAGCGATTTAACAGAAGACTTCTGTTAAATCGCTTTAATGCCTTTTTAGACCGTACTAATATGGTTATTAAGAATTACATAATCAGCCTCAAATTATTCTTTGTACTTGTACATTAAACAATTTTTATTCTTATATCTTTGTAGTAAGTTTATATTTTTTTTTTAGAGGTTCTTCTTCTTCATCATCCTCTTTATCTATGGGATTCAGAAGCCTAGATAGCAGTTTTAATCGCCCCGGAAATATAATGCCTCGTCTTTCTGAAAACACCGACTCTTCAGTAGATCACTATCAAGACGCGGACGAAGAAGACAACAACAGCTCCTCCATAAACATTAGCATGCTTCCACCGGTAAGCCGAACTCCCAGCAGAGATCGCGAAAAATCATCTAAGACTCCTCCGCAACAAAATCGCGATCGCGATAAATCGAATGCGACACAATCGTCTCGGGAAAGGGATAGGATTTCGCCCTCGGGTCGATCGAATCGGTTACACCATCGGTCTCAATTGAGGAGATCACCAGCGGGTTCGGATAGTAACAAAACGGTGAATAGTTCGTCTTCGAGCAGTGATGAATTTCTTTCGCGTTCTCCGCCGGGACCTACTGTTCAGTCGTCAAATAGGAGAAGCGGTTCCGGTAGAACCTCCTATCAAGCGAACAGAGTTCCTTTGCAAGAAGATTCTACTATCAGGGTTCGAAGGTAAGATATCAGATTCTTTTTTAACAAATCTAAAAATCTAGAAGCATTTTTATAATACTTTTTAATTTATTAAAAATGGAAGATTATCCATTTTCTTAAATGTAGTAGTAATTTGATTTTATTAATCCAAACAGGCCTATTTCTTGTCTATTATATATCCTTATTATCAGTTCTTGTGGAAGTTTTTGCAGTAAAAATGATGTTTTTGATCTACGTGAACTGAAAAATAGCAACCAATACGCCGAATACCCTAACCATAATCAACCAAAAATTAGTGAGAATGTATCCACAGGAATTGAGATTCCTCTCAGTTCAGATTTATCTGTATCTACAGAAGCTGAGGTTTCTTTCCAGTTCAGGTTTATTATTGCTTGATTCCACAAAAGCTAAGATCCCTTCCACTTCAGGTATATCAAATACTTGTTATTCTGAAAGAAAAATTGATCAAAATAGTGACTTTGAAAGTTTCTCTTCTAATAATTCTCTTTATATGCCAGAACAAGCTGAGGAAGAATTCAGTGATAGTAGTGCTTCTAAAAGAAGCCAGAATATCAATTTGCCTCAGATCAACTTTGAGCAGCCCGAGTATAGATATACAACAAAACGAGAAAAGAAAAGATACAAATTATCGAGGTAAAAAGTTTTTAATTAATTTTTTACTACGTTCGAAAAGATACAAACAAACTTTTTTCTTGAAGAACATTTTACATCTATGAAACAGCTTCTTTATGATATTTGGAAATATGTCAAATAGATGATATGACACCACTGGGAAGGTATGTTTATTAGCGGTACGGTACGGTTATTAGCCTCGTGTTCTGTGTAGGCTTTGTTACTGTTTTCCAGCGCCACTTAGGAACAGCACTGTTAATTAATACCCAACAGTAAATGGTCGAGTGGGTAATCCTACCAAGGCATCAGAATTAATTTTAAATAATTAAATTAAATGAAAAAATTCCGGCCAACCGTGGGATTCGAACCTGGGAGTATTTTAAAAAACATTTAAAGAACAGAATTTGAGTTTGGTTTCACCCAAGAAGAAGCAATGCGATATTTGTATTCAGTATGAACATGGCAATGTCTCAGACGATCAATGGAAGCGTCACATCGATAAAAAAGAAAAAGTTCGCGAAGAAAAAGAAAACTATGTAAAAGATGCTAAAGAATATAAGATCATTTTACTGACAATGCATTTACAGTCCATTAAAGTTGCTCCTTATTTAAATGCTACCTCAATTTATTTTAAAACGAAGTTATCCTGTTATAACTTCACAATTTATAATGTTGAAAATCACAAAGTAGCTTGTTATTGGTTTACAGACAATGATACAAACCTTAATGCTTTTACTTTTGTTTCTTGTCTTTTAGACTATATTACAAAAAACTGTTTAACACTAAATATTCCTATTATTATCTATAGCAATGGCTGCACGTTTCAAAATCGGAATGTTGTCGTGACTAATGCACATCTTAATTTCTCAATTGTTCATAAAGTATGTTATGTTGGAAATGGAGTGTTAATACACTGCAACCTAAAAGATCTATTGTGTCCCCTTCTGTTACCAATGCACTAAGACAATGTCTCAATGCCTATAACGACCCTTCCAATCCTATTTTCTCAAGGAAGTGTAGGATTTGAAGTGACTTCAAGTTAAGTAAATCTCCCTCTTCTATTTGATATCCTCCTAGATATAGTGCCCTTGGATTCTGGAGTGCTACAGATTTAGTTGTCAATGGAGGTTTCGTCCTCCTCCTCACAGAATCTGCACTCACTATCCTTCATTATTCTTAGTTTACTTTGGTGTCCTTTTAGTTGGCAATGCCCGGTGAGGATCCCTGTTACAATACGTAGCTTGTTCTTGCTCAGGCAAATGCAGGCTTCCGATCTTTCCTGGTTACATTCACCTAGAAGTATCTTGGCTTGTCTCAGCCCCAAGAGATTGTTCCAATTATCGGTTTTTCTACTGCCCAATTCTTTTTTAATCTATCCTAATAATATGTTACTGCTGATACCGCAGAACGGCTCAGGTCTTACAAAGGGTGTTTAAGCTCCTTTCCTTGCAAGAATATCTGCAATCTCTATAACCTGTACTCCGTTATGTCCCGGGACCCAAGTAAGAGTAACTCTATTTTTCTCGCCTAGCTCATTCAATTGTTCTAGGCATCTCCAGACCATTTTTGAATAGCACGTCTTTCGGTTGCAAGCGCGATGGATTTTTGGCTCCATTCTTTTTTGCAGCTTAGCTCTGTGGTTTTGAAGTTTTTCACAAAACTGTACTTCGTTAGTATTTCATCCTGGAGCATGTCCCAGGTATCTTTAGTCCTGAAGCAAGTAGACTTTCGACTGATTACTCCGTTTCTGTCCGGTCCTTTTTGCTACATTCTCTATCATCAAATGTAGAGGGGTGAGGTTTAAAATCACCTCTATTGCGGCCGTAGGACAGGTTCTCGTTGCACCAGTAATGCAAACACAGGCTAGTCTTTGTACTTTTGAGATATTAGCTCTCGTAGTAGCTAAACTAGTTCTGGTACTCCAGGCTATAGCCCCGTAAGTGATGATTGGTCTCACTATTGCAGTATATATCCATTGCAATATGTTTGGGTTACATCCCCATCGTTTACCTGCAATGTTTCTGCATACCATTAGGGCTTTTGTGGCCTTATTTACTACTTCCTTCTCATGTGTGTTTCAGAGAAATTTGTTGTCCAGGGTTAAGCCTAGATATTTAACTTCATTTTTCCATTCTATATTTAGCGCCTAATTTAATGGTTTTTAGATTAGGTTCTCTTTTACTTGAAAAGGCTACTAGTGTTGTTTTTGTAGGGTTTATACTAAGTCCTACTTCACGGCACCATCTTCTGGTATGTTCTAGTCCTCGTTGGACTATATCACACAGGATATTACTAAACTTTCCACTAGCAAATATGACTATGTCGTCGGCATAACCTTAACAGGGTATGCCAAGGTCAGTCAATCTGCATAGAAGTTCGTCTACGGTTAGGCTCCACATTAGTGGGGATAGAAATCCTCCTTGTTGATATCCTTTGGTTATGCAGATGAAGATGGTGTCCTGCCCTATATGTGTCTCTGCAGTTCTCGTATATAACAGCTGAGCCATCCATCTGGATGTGATGTTATCTACTCCTCTATATGCAAGTGCTCTTTTTACAGATTCGTATGGCGTGTTGTCAAAAGCTCCTTCTTTGTCTACGAAGGCACACAGGATTGTTTTTTTGCTTGTCATAGGGTAGTTTTTATACCAAATAGTTTTTTATCTTTTCATACATACTGACTTTCTTTATTCGCCACTAGTACCGAGAGAGGGACATCTTCAAAGTCAGAATTTTGATCATCTTCCACTTCTTCTTCATCTTCTTGTTCGCTTATTTCTTGTTCAAAATTCGAATTGTGTTGTTCTTCTTCCATACCTTCACTTTCATCAGATTTGTTTCCTACCCGTCCAACTTCTTCTTCCGAATCCGTTTTACATATAACCTGGGACAGAGCCTCTAATTCATTTTGAGAAAATATTTTCGGATTTTTTACTCGATGCCTAAAAAATACAGTTTATTAAATATATGCCTATGATAAATATTTACCTACAAACACACTTGATGTTTCGTAAAAAATGTTAAAAATAAAACATTTACATATACTTACATAATTATTTGCGTTGGTGTATTCTGTACACCACGACAAATTTCTCGGAATATCTCACCTACTACTTCAGCGATCAAAACCACTTTGGCGTATTTTTGACACCAGTGCGAGTAGTTTAATACTTATAAAAAAAATATGTTGGCCTATGTAGATATTTACGAATCACCCTGTATAAATGGCACCTAAAATGTTTTATGTTATCATCAGACATGATAAATATAGCAATAATTTATTTTGTAGTAAATATTTTCTCCTTTTAGAACAATAAAAGTATTTATCAAAAACATGTCCTTATTTATTTGTGGCCCACCCTGTAAAGGAAAATAATTTTTTACCACTTTTTATATCGGTAGAATGCCAAAAAATGTTTCATTAATATTTTGCACAAAAAATTATAATAGACTAACTTTCTCCTGAACGAACTGTTATGAAATAAGTAGTAGAAACATTCCAAAAATTTATTACATTTAACAGATTGACACTTTTCCATAAGCGGAGCGGTGTGCGTGGTCCTTTTTTTTATTTTTATAGTTTAAGTTTAAGCAATTTCCCTCTGGAAGTTGCTTAAAACATTTGGTAGGTTACAACTCGAAGATCGATGTTTTGTTTACGTTTACTGTTATTTCTATAAAAACTGGAAGCATGCTATGCACAGAACAATCGAGTCTGTCATAAGAAAGTTTTTGTTTAAAGCTTTCAAGCGAAAAAACAGCAATTCGTTATTGAACTTTTAAGTGCTTGCCTAGGGGCATTTAATATTGACGTACCTTTCCAAAGTGATTTTTTTTAGATAGTAATTCCTCGAACCGCACTGTGTCAAATGCAGGTTTTATTTACAAACAATAAAAAAAAGCACAATTAAGCCCCTTGTCGAACATTCTATTTTGATCGAAGTTGAAGTTCAAACAAATGCGGTACAGAAGGGCGCTTTCAAAATAATAATATTTTTTCATCAGAAGCTTGTTCGTGGCTGCTTTGACGGCTTCCGCTACCTCGAGCAACGAACGGTCCATGAAATCAAATTCCAGTATTACAATATAAAATAATTTTCGTTACGAATACCGCTGTTTAATCCTTAGTCGTTTCCCCCTTTATTGTAATATGATTGTTCACGCTGAAGATTACAAAGAAGAGACACTACATTTATGTTCAAAAATATCGCTGTAACTGTGTTCCTTTTAAATTGGAGTATTAACGTTGTTGCTAAATTAAGAAATTTCTTGAAATATCATGATTGGAGTTTATTGTGAAATTTAAATGTTTTGGGTTGATACTTTAGCCACTTCCGCAGAATTACTTTTATTACTTGACATTTTAATTGTATAGAAAGTGTATTATC